CGTAGTGCTACTAAATATAACATTATTTTAAACTTTATAAAACAGAAAATAATCAACTGTAATTAATTGACTTTTCTATAAATGTATTGTTTTAATAGTATATAAACTTTCTTGTCGCTAAATGTGTCTTCTTGTCGCTAACTTTTTTCTTCTTGTCGCTTTTTGTCTCTAATTAGTGAGACCGTCTTAAAATATATCGACCAATCAACGTCAATTTCCGGTTCTATTTCATTCATAAATAACAACAACATTATTTAACAAGGTCAGTTATGTGATAAACGGAATAATATAAAAGGAAGGAATTCAAATGTGCATACATTTAATTGAAATCAATTAAAAAATCACAATCATCTCAAACAAAAAGAATATTATGATTAACAATAATTACCTTTCTATCATCAGAATCCTCCAAATTTAAAAGGTACGTTTCGTCTTCTAAGTTAAAATTACCGCCAACTTAGACTACTGTAATTCCGTGTTGCTGCCAAACAATATTTCTACGCCTTTTGCCATTTGGGAAATGTAAACGACTTGTATTTAGAGATTTTTGGCGATTAAATATTTCATACAATTGTTCTTTGACATCTTAACCAAAAGCACACGGGATAATAAACAATGTACGAATTTCTATAGAGCACTATTTCCTATGTGCAACGTCAATTATTTTACGTTGTTCGACGATCAATTAAGGTTATTCTGGTCATACTTTTTGTATTCCAGAATTAAATGTATGAAAAAAGTGTCCAATTAATTATAAATAACCTATTACCCTGCTAGATAACAACAATTGCACCTATTTCAGTATTCTTTGAGAAAAAAGGCAAATCTAGGGTGCTAGCATATGGCAGCTTAACTGCCAAAAAATGAAAATAACTACACAGACGAACAAATAACAAACTAACCTTATATTCAATTGGGTAAAATATTCATATAAACAAAATTTAAAAATGTGTTCATGTTATCAATGAAACCAACATGTTTCATTTTATTATATCTAGCAGTATTCATGTTAAAACGCAAGTTATTGTCCTGCAATCAACCAAAATAAGACTGCAATTGTATTAAGGGAAAATCGTTTGATACCAAAAATTTCTTTTTTTCTCTTTCATTAGCAAAAGACTAAATATTGACCTTGTTGAGGTTGTAGTGTATGTATTCATTTTGTTTTAATATTTTGAAACAGCCTTGTAACCAAGATATAAGAATACATTAAGTATCCATAGGATTTGAAATAATTATAGGGAATCAGCCATTTCATTGTCGCACAATACTTTCTCCACAAGGCGTCAAAAATATCCCTGCTATATTTCTGTATATAGTTGAATGCTGTTTGTTGTTTTCTTGTAAGAGAATGTATGTATACAGATTTATACATGACTTTTTCCATATCGATCCGCTCATCATTAAAAGACCCCAATAGCTCCCCGGAGTGCAAGGTGACATATCTCGAGTCTGAGAGGTAAAATGCATAAAACGTTTGTAGCTTCAACACGAAAATGGATCTAACGTCAATTTTGCATGAAGATGTTTACTTTTTTTTGTTGGGACTATTAATTGATAATAATTGTAAAAAATTCGTAAGGGTTCCGCGGAACCCAGTGTCTCGCCTACTTTTGCTTTTAATTGCAGGCTCAACAAAAATGAGGAAAAAAATCAATAAAAATATTCCTTTAGATACTATCTTTAGATTGTAAGAAGCTTCTGTCAAAGTTTGGTATAAATCCAGGATAGTTTATGAATCTAATAAATGTTTTAAAAACTTTAACTGCAGACTGTATTTAATGTTAACAGGAAGAAAAACTAAGTCCATTTATAAGAAAAATACGGAAAAAAAGAAATTTTTTTTTTAACAAATTTACTTCTGGATACTATCTTATGATCATAAACAAGCTTCTGTCCAAGTTAGGTACAAATCCAGGATAGTTTAAGAAAGTTATTAAAATTTCAAAAACTTTAACCACAGAGTGAATGTATTGTTTTCTGGCAGAAAAACTACGTCCATTTATAAGTAAAATATGGAAAAAATGAAAATTTTTTTTTAACAAATTTACTTCTGGATATTATCTTATGATCATAAAAAAGCTTCTGTCCAAGTTTGGTACAAATCCAAGATAGTTTAAGAAAGTTATTAAAATTTTAAAAACTTTAACCACAGAGTGAATGTAATATTTCCTGGCAGAAAAACTAAGTCCATTTACAAGTAAAATACGGAAAAACAGGAATTTTATTTTTACAAAATTTACTTCTGGATACTATCTTATGATCATAAACAAGCTTCTGTCCAAGTTTGGTACAAATCCAGGATAGTTTAAGAAAGTTATTAAAATTTCAAAAACTTTAACCACAGAGTGAATATTTGTGGACGCCGCCGACGACGACGACGACGACGACGACGACGCCGACGGAATGTAGGATCGCTATGTCTCGCTTTTTCGACTAAAGTCGAAGGCTCGACAAAAATAGTCATCCTCTGGTCAAATAAAAAAGATGTCAATAATGCTTTATAACTACATTTTTGCGTGAATAAATCTAAGTAGAGAACGGAGAAATGGATAATCAAAAGAACAAATTTCCCGTAATTGGGGAATAATATAATATCTTGAGACTTTGGAGTATTTGTTGAAATGGTTTTCATGTCCTGGCGTGATCGATGTCATATCTTAATCATGTTACCAAGTAATCAGTGCTGGAATTGTTCTTGCTCAATGTCCCCATAGTAATTTTAATGAGTAAACTAGCTATGTCATTAACAACGTTCTGGCTGTCAATGGAATACATTTGCTGAGCTGTCTAGTCTAACTTATTGACCTCACTAGAACAAGGTGTTTAAACGGGCATAATCTGTCAAATTCATGTTCACCGATTTGACTATGTTCTCGTATTTGATTTATGACATACTTAAACGTATAACAAACTACAAAAAGACCAAAAGATTTATTAACAATGCAAGGAATCAATATAATGTTTCGGCATTTCGGGTGTATTTTAGACTAGACGCCATCTTATTAACCATCCAGATGACCTTCGACAAATGCCGATGCTCATATCATCTAATGTAAACATAAATGTAATTACACCAAAAAGCACATGCAATCGTACAACAATAATTCTTTAGGTCCGTTTGATTTCATGTCATAGATTAAAAAATAAGAAAATTTGTAAATGATCGCTAACCTGTCAATGAATAGTTTTTTTTTATTGTGGGCAGAATCAGACAACAAAATAGATTTTCACGGTGGATCTCTTGTTTCACTTTTCAAAATACACATTTTCTCTTTTTAAAAACAAAACATGCTTTGCACATGCGTTACTCATATCTAGATAAAGAGTCAAATTGAAGGTCGATTGAATAAGAGGCTGATTTTTTTACTTGCAAACCGATAATACATCAGCGATGTTTTTGAGCTTATTATAACCAAATTGAACATAACCAACTGCTAATTGCAAAATAATATTTCACAATTGCACTTTTATGAATGTTTGAAACAAAATAAAATGATATTTTAATTATTTTTTTTAATCATAGCCAATGCCCCTTTAAAATCCAGTCGATCCTTTCGTCCTATCTTATTTAAGTGTTTACTTGTCATTCTAAATGATACATAAAAAAACTCATATCGAAAATACATTCGTATCATTGAAGACTGTATGTTACCCTCTAGATGTCCGATACAAATTTAAAGCCAAGATGATATTCCTACGAGTTTTTACTTTTAAGAGGTTTTTCATTCATTTTCGTCCGAAGACGAATCAGTATTTACCCTTCAATTTTTGATGACGCAAATATTTTCACACACATGAATGATTTTTTTCGTTTTACTTATCAATACATTTAATTCCTCACCTGCGAATTACGAAGTTTTCAACTCCCAAATGCAATTTATTTTCTTTTAGTCTGTGATTTGTTATTGATGTGTTTATTTTCTGTAAATTTACTGTTTATAAAAAGTTGAATTGTTCGAAATAATAAAAGAGGGACGAAAGATACCAGAGGGACAGTCAAACTCATAGATCGAAAACAAACTGACAACGCCATAAGCTTTTTGATATACCCAACCAAATTTTTTTTTAGCAGCATTTTGTACAAATTACGACATTTTTGGGGTTTTTAATAATTCTGAAACTGCAACTGCAACATCAAATATTTCCAAACTTCGAAAGAATGATGCATGGGAAACCCTTTATAGAGATTCCATAATTGCACAACTGCCTCATGCAAAATTGACCATAGCCTGTTTTTAATGCTGGTCCTTATAAGTTTTGGTTTAAACACATTGGAATCAGTATTATGTTTACAATACTATTGCTTATGTTCATATTTTCAATATTTGGATCTGGAGCGTATCAGATAAAGGTAACCAACAGAACTACATGTCATGTGCACTGTTATCAGGATTATATGTTTATATAACTGACATATGTGTACAGATACACCGAAGTAAAAACATATATTCATCTGGATTTATTTTAGCCTTTCCAAGCTAAGCAAGAGTTTTGTCCCTACTGGTATTCGTTTGAGTCGATTTACGGGTAACTCGAAATATTTCTCTGGTCTGGCTAACTTCGAGATAACGAGTCGACTCTATATCCAAAATATTTATCAAACGTTTACATTCTTGCAATTTGGATGACATACAGGTAAAATTGAGAATGAAATGGGGAATGCGTCAAAGAGACTACAATACAGGTGTCTACAATGGTGTTAAATATGTTGTTGGGTCATGGTAATTATGTCTATTTAGGACTTTGGTATTGATGGCAGATCTGTTCAATTTATTCACACTGCTCTATCATTCAATATGTTGACGTGAAGATGTATATTGGTTCTATAATATGATTGGTTAACTGTTTTGAAATCATTATTTTTTTAAAATATGAAATAGATCCTAATATTAAATTACTCAACATTCGTCTTCAACACTACCGCCAATACAAATGTCATTCAATGAAGTTTATACGAAAACTAAGTGACTTTTGCATTAAATATAAACAAGGTTAAACAATTTTTCTTCCTTTTATTTTACCCTTTTCCCCATCCAATATTTTGGTTTTTGTTTAAGTTCTTTTGTTATTTCGCCGGCCGATCTTCTAACTTGTTTTCTTTCCCGTCGATGAGCTTGATATTCCTCTTGTCTCTTCAACTCTTTCTGGCTCTGCAAAACAAAACAAAATGTAATCCTTATATTCCGGTACTATATTATTGAAACAAAAGAATTAACCAACTAACGTATACAAACTATTATTTCATTTAATACAAATGTTATATTAAAATTTCTCTAATTCTTATTTATACTTTTCCCGACAGATTGATTTTCTTATAATCAACATGTGGTTCGTTTGATCTCAGTTCTTAATTGGTAAAGATTCAGTTATGACGTCAAATGTTCTTGTTGTCCTCTGAAAATCACAGGGGCGTAGCTGCCGTTAGGCACTTTATGCACGTGCCTACACATAATTTTTTCACAAATATTTTTTTATGTATTAAAAAAAATAATGACAACGTTATCTGTAGATTCACGTGAAGTCGTCAAAATTCTTTAATTATCAAATGAATTTGTACAGTAGTCTATCATCCTTAGTGAATGGAGTATTGGGTAGAATTGTATGTACATTATATTCCACCTTAAATGGAAACTAAAACTAGAACTTTGGTTCATATCATTTCACTTCTACCAACAAAACCCTGACATTTTATTCTTAGATACATGATTTTTTTTATTAGTTGTTGTTGGCTTTCAACTAGCTTTTTTCCACTTGGTCTTCATCCGATCTACAATAAAACCCTTGCCAAAGTGGGGCGTCCACTTGGCTGTGCGGGATGTATAAATACGCTGTCACGTCTCGTCAGAAAGGGAACGTTAACTCCGATGCCTAGTGTAGAGAGAATGCCACGCTCTTTGCACGTTAAGAACACTTGCAACAACTCTTTGAGGGGTCCGTAGGTGGTCTGCTGAAAGGCAAAATGTCTGTCCCTATCCAATAAACCCTCATTTACCTAGCTCCGCTACGCGTCGCTGGGTAAACTAAATTTGCGACAGTAAAATCTACGTTTTACGAAGGCCAAGCTTAAAATACAATACAGTTATCTACTAATTTTCTAATGGCATTTTCAAATTTTCAGACCTTCATCCTGGACGACCCCTATTACAGGACCTAGTGGCTACCTGTTGTATTTATTGTAAATTTGTTTTTGTCCTGATCATGCATAACTATTTGCCACTGGACATCCAGATAGCAATCAATCAATCAACTAGCTTTCAGTAACTTCGAGTACTCTCAGATCTACGTGTAATGACCATAATTATTCCTAAGCAGGTAGGGATTTCACAATAGAGGATATCAGAAAATATGAATTTCTTGAATTTTGTCACGATAGTATGAACAGAACCGAACTTCTGAATTGGGCATCAACTGTGTGTGAGTGTATGTGTTTGTGTGGCCGGGGTGAAGGTTTAAGAATCAAAAGATGGATGGTCGATGTCTAGCCCAAAGGATAGTATTATTATATATAGTAGTCTCAGTGTTTACGTGCCTATTCTTTTAATGAAGGATCGTCTATATGTACTATCAATTAACGTATATATCAACTATCCTCAATCAGAAAGGAATAGATATGAAAATACTAAATAAGATGTACTGCTTAATTAAAGGGCTACGCTGATCTACGCTGGGAAATGCAGATTGTAAATATTTTTATTTTTTTAAGATTTCCGATGGTACTGCGCTAATTCACCAGATGTTATTGTAAAATTATTTATAATTCTTCGAACTTTTCTTCGTGTATATTATCATGATAAAATAACCAGTAAATTTAATATTTTTTGTACACAAAATTTTGCAACTAAAATGCTGAAAACCGTTTTCCGTCGGGGGGCTTCGCTCCCCCTGAACCCCCTGCTGCGGGCCTTAAGCGGCCCCAAGACCCCCTGCCGCAATGTGTGCCTACAGTTGATTGGATACCTAGCTACGCCCCTGAATCATATATATAGAACACATCTTTCAGCAGACTCATCGAAAAAGACTGATGCAGTTTGTTTAAATATCGTCTAACAGCATCCCAGAAACAGTTTCCATCACCGAATCTCGTGCAATACGATATTTTTCCACTCTCGACAGACAATTAAATTATAATGTCTAAAAAGCTCGGCAAGCCTCAGGTTTTAAATTTCAAAGTTTAACTGTCTCCCGTGGAAAAATATCGTATCACACTTGCAGTGGTAGAATCTATATATCTTTAAGTCCAACATAATTCTTTGTAAATCATGTTATACGACAATGGAAAATAGGAAATCAATCTGGTCATACCTAATTGGTAAATAATAAAGATGTATGGACGGTAGGCAGGTGGTATCTCATGTCCTTAATAAATATGCATATTTCGACTATCTTTTTACCGTTAAAATATTTGATAAATAAAAAAATTTCACTGACCTAAAATTTTTAGTGATAAAATAATTTATTATGTTGCATCAATTCTAGTAGAACATTTAAATTTTCGATATGATTATTGTAGAATTATTATACTTTGTAAGCAATCATGGATTCTTGATCCAAACAAAATCATTCTCTCTAGAACTAACCATCATGAAAAAGAATTGTGTTGCTCTTTTTTGCCCTCAAAATTATTAAGATTTCCACATGTCAATTGAGCAGTGTTAACAATAGATAAAAAATCATTTACAAATTGCCATAGATGAACTACAACCATTACAAGTCAACAAAGACGGACTATGAATATTACAAGTCAACAAGGGCGGACGTAATCTTTTTCAAGTATCGAAGGTATCGTTTTAGCCCGTTTAGCTTAAGACACCCATAGTAATGAAACATCCTGCAAAACAGAAACTTACTGAAAAATCAACCAATACCTTTTTTCAGTGCAATAATGATTACATGTACCTTGAAATTTATGTATGGAATTTGTATTTAGACGAGTCAAGAGTTCCATGATGTAATAAAACAGCTTCGGAACAAAATTAAGTAGAAATACTTTTCATAATTCCTGGTATGGTTTATATATTCTATTTACCAAAAATGTTGATTTTACACAAACATTATGGCAAAATATAATATAAGACACAGCCTTACCCTGAAACTGAGTTAATGCTGTCATTTTCCAGAAATTTTCTACATACAATGAATACAATAATGTTAGAAACAGGTAACTATCACAACAAGAATACACGAGTTGTCGTGCTGAGCATACCCCCACTCGTAATTGAAGGTATCGGACAACAGGAATACACGCGTTGCCGTGCTGAGCATACCCCCACTAGTAATTAAAGGTATCGGACAAAAGGAATACACATGTTGCCGTGCTGAGCATACCCCCACTCATAATTCAAGGTATCTGACAAGAAGAATACACGTGTTGCCGTGCTGAGCATACCCCACTCGTAATTCAAGGTATCGGACAACAAAAATACACGCGTTGCCGTGCTGAGCATACCCCAACTCGTAATTCAAGGTATCGGTCAACAATAATACACGCGTTGCCGTGCTGAGCATACCCCCACTCGTAATTCAAGGTATCGGACAACAAGAATACACGCATTTTTGTGATGAGCATACCCCCACTCGTAATGCAAGGTATCGGAAACAAGAATACACGCGTTGCTGTGCTGAGCAAACCCCCACTCGTTATTTAAGGTATCGGACAATAAGATTGATTGTTTGTTGATTGCTTTACACCCCATCAGCACAAGAAAGCTTATGTCTCGGCGAGAGTTATTTCTAATGTTAAAATATAGCAGTTTGAAAAATCAGACAAAAATTCTTACAAATTACTAAAACTTTAGTTTAAAGCGAAATTACGCATTTACAAATAAAGTTCACCAATACCATAAAATGATAAAACTTTAACATCATTTTACACTAATATACAACATATTCATATTTTGGAATATGTTACAAATTCTTTTAAAATGAAACAATTATTTGAACTGGATTAATATTAAATAAATCATACATATTATTCACATTAAGTTGTTATCTCCGAATATTGGAAAAGTCAATACATTCAATTAAACATGTTTAGGTGTATACTTGCAATCGCATGGTATACATTGTGGTTAAATTTCATTTTTTGAAAGATACTCGTGTGTTATTCTAGTGTGACCGATACGGCATCTAGAAATATAACACACTGATCTTTCCTGCATATTACACTATTTAAAGGTTTGCTTATTTTGGGAGATATTTTATGCAACTTATTGTCGTTCCTTTTACTCCATGCATTTTTCCATACATCAAAAAACATTCTATAATATTAGATTTAATATCGGTATATGGTATTTCGCATTTAGATATTGGGTCGTTCAGGGAATTTTTTGCTTCTTGATCTACGACTGTTTTTTCGTGGATTCCGGTATGACTTAGAACCCATAGAAATATAATTTCTTTATTAAGAATATTCAAATTTCTCCTTACGTAATGGATTTTCAGAATTAACGAGTTTTTAATTTTGGTATTTTGTATTGTTAGAGGACATGATAGCGAGTCAGAACATATAATAAATATTGATTTGCCAGAAGAAGCAATAAACTGTAAGGCCAGAATTATTGTCTTAGCTTCTGCGGTTAAAATGGATGCAGCAATAGGTAAGCGGAGAGTTGCAGCTCCGTCACCATATACCACAGCAAACGACACTTGGTCTCCCCCCTTCGATCCATCAGTATAAACAGTTGAAAGATCAAATTTGTTTGGATTTTATTTCAGCATAATGTTGCTGAATTAAAAGAGGGTTTGTTTCAGCCTTATTGTATTTATGGAGATCGTATATCATTTGTGGTTTAGATAGTTCATCGAGGGCATTTAAAAGTCTGAACTGGAGCAACGGGCGAGGTTTTAAAGGCACCACATCATCGATAATTTGGATGCATGATTTCCTTGCAGAGCCATACACTATGGAACCATAACCTAGCTAAGACCGAACTAGTGATCTATATAAATTCATTAAAACGTTGCCATTTGCACCCAAGACAGTGAAATGATATTTCTCAACGCGAAACAGTTAAAATATCTAAAGCTTTTAGACACTTTAACTGTCTATCAAAATTTAGACCAAGAAATGTTGCTTCATCAACCACTCTAATCTGGTTTCCGTATAAGTGAAGCTCGGTATCAAGATGTAATTGCCGTTTGTTGCAGAAAT